TTTTTTTTTTTTTTTTTTTTTTTTTTTTTTTTTTTTTTTTTTTTGTGGATTGTAAAAATCAGGTTCAGGTTTAAGGTTTTGTCTTGAAATCAGTTGGCGATTCGAGCCCCTTTCTTTAACGGGATTCCCTTTTGTGGGCTTGGTTTTTTTAATGCCGGTATATTCTTTCATTTTTATTCTCAACAAAAGTTCGATTCTTCGTAAGAAATCGAATAAAACTATACTGTTTACTAATGTTTTTGTTCGTAGGGGTCGAGACAAATGTATCAACAAAAGATTTGAGGTTTATAACTCCGACTAAATGTCTTAATTACGAACATTTGTCTAAAGTTTATTAGATTTACCTTTTTATATAGAATTTCCCATGAATCAAGAACATGGGTTACTGAAACAATGCTTCAATATCACCTCCTCTGGATCATGTAATCACTATTTTGTTTTATCTATTTTTTAAATATAGTTTTTTTGTTAAAAAAATACAAAATTGGTGAGAAAACAAACCAAAAAAAAAAAAAAAAATACAAAAGAATTTGAATATATATATATCAAGCCAAAATCCACATGAAGACTGCAGACCAAATAGCAAGAGCAAGAGCGGCTGCCAAATAAGTCCATAGCATGATAACAGAGCATTCCTCTTGACCAACGCCGAACAACTGAGTCATTGTGCCGATGGACATGGCCGGCGGCGTGGTGTACTGAACCATCAACAAGAAGTGGTAAAGAGGATCCGGCGGCAGAAATCCTAATGAGTTTGCTCCTTTCACAACCAATATCCCTATTGCCGGCAGTGCAAAGTACCGAACCACAATCACTCCGATGATCGTCGTCGGCTTCACCGCTGACGACCTTAGCCCTTGAACCAGGTTGCCGCCGAGTATCAGCATGGTGCATGGGATTGTCCCATCTCTGTTCGTTATACATCACCACAACTCGTTTAGTAATGTTTTCATTTCTCATGCATATGGTAACGATCTCTAGAAAGTATACATACCCGAGTAGTTGAACAGAATCTTGTATCACACGTAACGGAGCATTATCTCCAATTACGAGGTTTCTGAGCCATGTCACCGCTCCAAAAATGAACCCCACAATCTAAAAATAGGAATATTTATCCGATTCAAGCATAGTTCAATAGCTAAAACTTCAGTGAGTATCTCAAAAGTGGATACTTACCGCTCCTAACGATGGAGGGGCCATTAACTCTTCAACAATGCTATGCAAAAAGTCTACTGTTTTGGCCCAAATGGACGATGATTCCCGTTTCTCTAAGATGGCTACAGATTCTTGGGATTCCCTTGATGAGACTGAAACAGGAAGGCCTTCTTCTTCTCCACATTGTTCGTGGAGAAGTCGAGTTTGCAAGTCGCCATTGGAGGTGTGGTTGGGTGCTTTCACGTGCTCCTCCGGTGCTTCAAGTGCTTTCATTCGCAAAGACGACGTTTTCACAAGGTGAAAAGTGTGAGTCCACAGGTAAAACCCACCTAGCTGAAAATTTTTACCCATCGAATACATTAGGTTAAACTACCACTAAACAAACATATGAACGTTAGAAATAACGACTCTCCACAATATAGTATGATATTGTCCACTTTGAGAGTAATAGCTCTCGTAGCTTTGCTTTGAACTTCCTAAAATGCCTCATACCAAATTCAGGCCCACTACTAGCAGATATTGTACGGACTCGCCCGATTGGGGGCTTCCCCTCACGGCTTTAAAATCAAGGTGTTTTGTTTCTCCTCCTCAACTAACGTGGGACATCACAATCCACTCCCTTTGGGGCCAAGGTCTTTACTAGCACACCGTCCCGTGTTTGGCTCTGATACCATTTGTAAGGATCCAGACCCACCTAGCAGATATTTTCCTCTTTGGACTTTCTCTTTCGAGGCTTTAAAACGCGTCTGCTACGGGAAGGTTTCCACACTCTTATAAAGGGGTGTTTTGTTCTCCTCCCCCAACCAATGTGAGACATCACACCCTCCCAACCATCCTCAACAATGACCACATCCCGTTCTAATACCATACTAATCTATGTTATGAATAGGTTAGGTTACGTACCGCCATAGAGAAGGAAGCGTACGAGAGCCCGAGAGAAGTACAGGTATCACCGTTACCGAAAGGGCTGCCATCCTCATTACAAATGGCAGGGATGATGATGAGAAGAAGGTTTCCCAAGTTGCCTAATCCCATATTACCAAAACAAATGAATAAACAAACCCAATAAACAAACAAAGAGGTAGAGAAGAAGAAGAACAAACCAGCAGAAGAGGCTGCAATGATAAGGCCTTCAAGATATGGCTTAGGCTTCAATATCTTAACAACTATCCATCCCAAAATCCCTCCAAATAGAAAGGTAAACCCAATATTCACTGGCATGAACCACCTAATTCATTTAACCCAACAAAACATTCAAAACAACACTAATGACCGATGATAATCATAGATTAACGTTAATTAATTACCATGAAACAATGTCTTCAAACGTCACCGTCTTGGCCAAATTTGCAAACATCAGACAAGGAGTGAACACTGTGAACACAATCTGCACCACCGATCAAAGCATAGCTCAACTGGTTAAATATTAGAATCTCAAATGACAAAAAAGAAATTTGAATCTCTCGGAAATGGACCTTGTTGAGAGAGGTTCGAGCATGCGCGGGAAGAAGGTTGCAGTAATCAGTGGCCAGAAAGGCTCCAACTAAGCAGATGATGAGGACTTGTAAATTGGGCATTAAAGCCACCTCCAACAGTGACAATAAACCCATCTCTTCTTCTAATGATCTTCCTCTGTTTCAAAGTTAGGCATCAACCATAATTAATTACCATAATTAATTACCTCTAATTAACCAGCTCAAATTAATTACCTTTATTTATTTATTTATTTAATTATAGTTTTTGGTTGCCGGAATTTTAGTACTGCGTGCCCTGCAATTCGTAATTTTCGAACATGACAACGTAGCCCACTACGACTCCCGACGCTCTCACTGTTTGTTTGTTTTTTTTTTTTTTTTTTTTCTATTTAAAATAACTATTTTACTTCTTCTAAATGAACTGAAAATGAATATATATAATAGGATAAATTAATAAAAAAAATACCCCTAAATTTTTAAAAATTNTTTCTTTTCTTTTTTTTTTTTTTTTTTTGATCTCATCACTTCTTAAATATATATTTAATTCTATTTTTTTCACTCTTCAATTTCTAAAATTTTTAATTTCGGTTTCTTAAATATCATAACTTTTTTCGAATTTTTGTGCCCTTCCATATATAATACTAAAAATAGAAGTTATATTAAAATTTTAAAAACCCCAATTTAAAAATAAATTGATTTAAGCCAAATTTCTTCATCTTTATATTTAAAAATACCCTTAAATTAACCTTTTTTTTTATATTAAAAATGTGTATATATATATATATATAGAGAGAGAGAGAGAGAGAGAGAGGAGGCAAAACGCGTAACGTAAGTGCGTGAATAGGCTGAAGAGAAAAGAAAGGAAGACGATGAAATGCCAGAAAGGTCGCCAGCTTCCTCGTTCATCGGCTATGGATTTTCTCTCTTTTAATTTTATTTATTTATGTATTATTTTTTTTAAATAATAAAAAACCTACTCCGTGGGGTTGATAAATTAATTAAGAATATTGGAAATGGAAATAAAACGTAAATTAAATAAAATCAAATGAAAATACCTGATGATCGGCGATTATAGAACAGCGGCGGCCGAGCAGAGGCAGAGGGGCAGAGGAAAATCAAATAATCGCTGGAACTGGAAATGCCATTTCTGAACTTATTTATAGGGAAGACGAGAAGAAACACACAACCACCTCGCCTTCCTCGCCACGCGACAACGCAGCCGCGTGTTTTTTTTTTTTTTTTTTTTTTTTAAATAAATTTTAAAACACACAAATTAATTATTAATAATTATTAATTTAGCTTTTTAATCATATTTTATTTGGTAAGCTGGTGTGATAATATCTTAATCGATGATGACGTGGATACACAAGATTGGATTACGCCGACCCGCCACGGTGGCGCAGCCAATTCTGAAGACACCTCGCGAATCTATCTGGGCCCACCCCCCTTTTTCTAATTTCCATTCTCTTTTTTTAAAATTTAATTTAATTTAATTTCCAATAAAATCATACAATTAATTCAAATTTTTTTTAATTCAATACTATATGGAAATGGAGATTCCAGTGAATGTTCATTAAATCAAGTCCATTTATTGGCATATAAATATTCTCCAACTTTATACAAAAGATAAAAAATAAAATAAAAAAAAGAATAACTTTTCCCCCATCTTTTTCATTTTAATATTTAAAAATAATTTTTTTAAATAGTCGATATAATAACTTAGAGATAAGCTTCCAAATATATAGTTATTTCTATTCACGATCGTTCATGATTGAATTATTTCTTCACCCTTATCTTGACTTTAAAAGATATTTTAATAGCCAAAGATATTTCATGACAAATATATATATTATAATTACAAAATTATAATTAAATAAATATAGATGGAGTATTTGACCAGTATATATATTAGTTGGGGTCGGGATCGGGATCGGTGCGGAGAATATAATAAGACATTTTTAATTATTAATATAAAAATTAAAGATTACAGATTTAAATTGGTAATTTAACTTAACAAAAATAATTAAATTTTAAAATGCAAAATAAATATTTAAAACTAAAACATTATCAAGTTGTTGTCTTATAAAGTCCACATGTATCTCCGCTGTCATGTTTTTTTTCATTCTCATGTTAAATGCATTGGATCTTGTGACGTGGGAAAATAGGGAAAGTAGTAATAATTCGATTTTTTATTTTTTTAATTATATTTACATTTATGGCTTTCTAAAATAAATCACCATAGTGGTAATTAATTTTAATATATATAAGAAACTAAAATTAACAAATAAATATTCTTTTAATTTTTTAATTATTATATATATTTTTTTAAAATCACGTTGGCAAATTGGAGCTACGTTGGATTTGGATGTCTATTTTATTTTTTTTTATTTTTTTATTTTTTTATTAATTTGGTGACTAAATTTGGACGGCATTTTCACAAATAATTACATGAAATTAAGAAAATAAATAAATAAATATTGTAGTGTTCATTTTGGTTCGAATGTCTTTGGGTTTGCTTGCGTAATTGCACACGTTTTTAAAACCTTTGCAGCCACTTTTGACGCTGTTTTTATTTTAATGATTAAATCACGCCAAAATTATTTTATAATTAAAAAATTTATGATTTTGATTGATAATAACCCTAGAAGTTAGACGAACACAACTCTCTACAATGGTATGGTATTGTCCACTTTTAGTATAAGCTCTCGTGACTTTACTTTAGGCTTCTCCAAAAAGTCAGATAGTATTCATTGATTATAAACTCATGATCATTCTCTAAATTAGCCGATGTGGGACTTTCATCATCTAACACCAGAGACTCGTAAAATTTTCAATTGGAGAGGAGGCCGAGATAACACAAAAAAAAAAATATATATATATATATATTATATTTGTTATCCAATATAGAATATATGGAATGTTTTTTTTTTTATTATTACTACAAATATTTCCATTATAATTAATTAATAAGTAGAATAAATATACAAAGCTGACTCAAAATAATTAATTATAATATGTATTTATTTATTTTTTAATTTGTAGTTTGTATTGTAAAAATTAAGGTGACAAGATCCACATGAAAACGGCGTACCAAACGGCGAGCGCGAGGGCGGCGGCGGAATAGGTCCAGAACATGATAACTGAGCATTCCTCTTGACCCACGTCGAACAACTGTGTCATGATTCCGATGGACATGGCCGGCGGCAGCGTGTACTGAACCATCAGCACGAATTGGTACATGGGGTCCGGCGGAAGAAACCCTAATGCATTGGCAGCTTTCACCACGGCTATTCCGATGGCCGGTAGAGCAATGTATCGGACTACGATCAGCGCTACGATCTCCATCGGTTTCACTCGATATGATCGTAGCCCTCGTGTCAAGTTGGCGCCTAAGATGAGTGTCGTGCTCGGGATTGTTCCGTCACTATCGGATCATTAACAAAATGGTTATCAAATAGAACTAGTTTTTAACTTTAAAAACAAAAATGAAAGCTTACCCGAGTAGTTTAACCGAGTCTTGGACTACTCGAAACGGAGCGCTCTCCCCAACTACGAGATGTCGAAGCCACGTGACCGCTCCGAAAATGAATCCAATAATCTAATTAAATTAAACCCATTAATTACTTTAATCTCGTAGATTATGATGTTAATTAATTAGGTTAATTATACTTACGGCTCCTAATGTTGGTGGCTCCATCAACTCTTTACTAATTCCGACAAAGATATGTCGTGTTTTAGCCCATATGGTTGCTTTCTCTTCCTTCTCTAATATGGGGACGGCTTGATCTTGGGATTCGATCTGCCAACTCAAAATTACGAGTTTTAAATAATTAAAAACCGCCCATCTCGAGATACGATGGCTAGAATGTTTATCTAAGTTAAGTATGAATGAACGACATTTATACACGTCGTCAAGAAAAACGATATTATTACCTCTTTTAGAGACTTGGTGGACGGGAGTGAAGAAGGAACGACATTGTCTTCCCCGAGAAGACGAATAGTCAAATTCGAGGCTTGGTCGGGTGCTTTCAACACCTCCTCCGATCCAAATTCTTCGCCTTCATTGAACTTTAAGGAGGACGTTTTCACAAGGTGGTAACAATAAGTCCAAATGTAAAACCCGCCAAGCTGCAAATTCTCGACGTAGAATCATGAGCCACATTTATCGTTTCGAGTTACGTAAATAGAACTATTGTTGTTAGCTTACCGCCATGGAGAAGGAAGCATAAGAGAGGCCACGAGAAGTACAAGCCTCACACTCGCCAAAAGGGTTGCCCGGCTCGCCACAAATTGCAGGGATGATGATAAGAAGAAGGTTGCCCAAGTTCCCTACATGTTTAACCGCTTTAATAAAACGCTATAAAATGTTTGTATAACAACGTATATAAGCTATAGTTTTATAGCATTTAATAACATGGGCTGTTACGAAGTACGAAAAATGCTCCAAAAAGTCTACGAGGGTGTTTTTCGTAAGCTATCGTATCCATTATTTGTTGCAGTGAAACGAAAGAAACTGACCCGTAGCAGCAGAGGCGACAATGAGGCCTTCAAGGTATGGCTTGGGTTTAAGGATTCGAACGATCATCCATCCCAAAACAGCTCCAAAGAAGAAGGTGAAGCCAATATTGAGAGGCATGAACCACCTAATTAAATGATTAATTAGCTTAATCATAGGCAGATAATGATGATTAGAAGGGGAATTAAAGCTTAGCTTACCATGAAATGATGTCTTGAAAGGTGACAGTTTTGGACAAATTTGCAAACATGAGACAAGGAGTGAAGACACTAAACACAATCTACAGACATAAGTAGAGATGATTAGTGACATTAATCATAAAATTAATGCGTAATTAATGGTTAATTACCTTGTTAAGTGATGTTCTAGCATGGGGTGGAAGAATGTTGCAACGATCAGTGGATAAGAAAGCTCCCAACAAGCAAATGAGAAGGACTTGGATGTTGGGCATGGAGGCCACCTCCAATAGAGACAACAAACCCATCTTGCTTCAATCCTATTTTGATATCAACTTTAAGCCAATATATATTTGAAGCGTACGAATGAGTATCGCAAATTGCAGATAAGGTGATCATGAACTCGGTTGGGTTGGATCAGGATTCTCCGACCCTTATATTCATGGGTTCTTCTTATCCTTAGATTATGGTCTTCTTCGTGAAGAGCGAGCGTGAACAGCTCAAGTTCATCGCTAATTGTTTTTTGTTAGGCTTAGATTTTAAGGAATGTTTCGTTCCCCTCTCTAACCGATATGGGATCTTACAATCCACCCTCCTTGTGGGTCCATCGTTCTCGTTGACACACTACCCGGTGTTTGGCTTTGATACAATTTGTAACAGCTCAAACCCACTGTTAGTAGATATTGTTTTCTTTGGGCTTTTCCATCTGTGTTTCCCCTCAACGTAGAGGTTGACACACCCTTATAAGAAATGGTTTGTTCCTCTTTCTAACCATCGTGGGATCTTACAAATTTTTATTGGGAGACTCATAATTTATCGATCTCGGTGCATTTAGACAGTACAAAGATATATTAGGATTTGAAACAGTATAATTAATGATGTAAGACAGTACAAATTTTGACTGGAAGATCTTACCTTCCGTGTAGATTGAACTTATAAATCGACGTTAATTAATCGAAAAATATAGAAATGTAAACCATACATGAATGTGTTCCATGTGACAAGTGGTTTCTAGAAAAGGACATGAAAAAGTGCATATCATGTGACAAATGGTCCCATCCATTGATGGTTATTGGCCATACATGTTCTTTTTTAGATATTAATGCCAAACCCTACCCTTTTCTTAAATACTTTCATACAAAAATTACAATTTTCAAACAAATTATAATATAAAACCCAATTCTTATTTTATTCCAAAATATATATATATATATATATATCCAAATTTAACCTCTATTAAATTATTGAACTTTAATGAAACTTTTAAAATCATGCCTATTTTTTTAAAAATTAAAGATATATAAAATTAAAAATTCACGAAAAAAAATATAATATCTTTAAACTTTTATATTTTTGTCAAAAAAAAAATTTCAATTATTTAATAAATAAATAAATAACTCCCTTAAACTAAAAACTTATTATTATTAGTACGTGGACAGAACCATCATCTACAACTCAGATTATTTTCATATTTTTCTATTTAAAAAAAATAAAAAAATTTAACTTGTTTAAATTTTTTTTTTTTTTTTTTAAGTTTAAAGGTGTCAGTAAATTGTAAGTGTATTTTAGAGTAGAGGAAACTTTTAATTTTTTTTTTTAAAGAAAGAATAAAATTTAGATATATTTTTATTAATTGAATGTACAATAATTTATTAAATACAATATTTTTTAAATTAAAAAATTATTAAATATATATTTAAAATTTAAAAACAGGATAATTTAGTTTTTTTTTTTCCTGAAAAAGGGATAAATAAGAATATAAATATTCAAGTTTGTTTTTTTGGTTAGTTACTCCATTTTAGTTGGTATGATGCTCTAAAAAAAAATGCAATATTCTAATTAAATTTTAAACAAGGTAATAATAAATAAATAAATAAATAAAGCAGATTTTAAAAAATGTTAAATTAGTGAAGAGATTTGGTTTAAGCCTATGTGTCATTCTGAAATTATTTATGATTATTATTAATTGTTTATCGTTTGATTTGGTAATTAATTTTCCATTAATTAATTACTGTTAAATTTGATAGAAGCCATGAACATGCAGGAGGCTGTGGGGTGGGGTGGGGGAGGGAGGAAAGTAGAGAGAAATGAGAAGGCAGCGGCGAACCTGGGTGGTGCACGGCGGCCGGCCGGACGGCGGAGGCGGACAGAGAAATTATAAGGGAAGGAAAAAGCCTCCGGAAACTCGGATCTCCGATCTGAGATTAACTGTGAGAAAGAGTTGGAGACTGAAGTTGTTATTATATGGTGACAACTGACAAGTTATTGCCTTCCCCACTACACGACAAACTGAGGGCCATACCCAACCAAGGCTTGCCTGTTTAGCTTTTTCATTCCACGACGTTTGGAGAGTCGGTGGGTCGTGGGACAAAAATTCACGTTTAAATTGGAAATGAAGAGTGTCGAGACAAGCTTTTCTCCTTTAATTAAATTGAATTAAGATGGTAAATATAATTCTGTCCTCTAATGTGATATCTCGGGTGAGGAGAACTGAACACCCTTTTATGAGAGTGTTAAAACATTTCTCTAGGTTTTGAAGCTTTGAGGGGAAGCCCGAAATGGAAAATCGAAATAGGACAATATTTGCTAGCGGTGGGCTTGGACTTGGGTCATTACAATGATATTAGAACTAGGTTTCGAATGATGTGTTAGCGAGAAAGCTGTTCTCGAAAAGAGAAAGTCCAGATAACGCCAGCTTCTTTTTTATATAAAAATATTATTGTATTTATTAATATGTAAATATATATATAAAAAAAAAAAATCATTAAATGGATAAGGTTAGATCAACCTCGTCCATAGCCTTCAGAGAGTTGAAAAGGTTTTGGGCCCACATAGTAGGGCGAGTACGTGGAATTTTTTTTTTTTTGTTCTTGATGACGTGGAAATTTAAAAGCAAGATCCTCGTAAAATTATATAATGGTATTTTAAAATATAAAAAGTACATAAATTAATAATTTAAGTTATGCCCTCAAATTTATATTTTCTTAAAAAAGAAAAAAGAAAATTTAGTTAATTAAATTAATAAATTGATAAAATACCATATAAAATATAAATTTAATTATTTCAATAAAAAAAAAATTATATATAGAAATGAAATTAAAATTTCCCAAAATTTGAAAAACGAATTAAAAAAAAGCCTAAATATTCGGTGCTAAATTATAACTTTACCGACAAAACACTAAATAAAAAGACAGCAAAAATCAATGAACTCCACCGAAAAAGAAAAAAAAAATGAAATTAATGATTTTTTAAATAATTATTAATAAGTTTAATTCTTTTTATTAATCGATTATATGAAAAAATTTAGGTTATTCAGGTAATCTGGAACAATATGTAGTTGACATATTATGATATGTCTAAGTACGTAGACGAGACTGAATGTCTTGTTTTTGATAACATGCGATGTATTTTATAATTATTAAAAATCTTTATTTATTTACTTGAGTTCTATGAATATTGGCGGATAAACCCTACTTGTTAAGGATGTCTTATCTTATTAATAAAAACAAAATTAATTATTTTTGAAAAGAAATGAGAGAATAATTGAAACGCTTATGAACCACAATTATATCAACTTCTAGAAATCCTTAAATAATTGATTTTATTGCATCGACTGCTAATATCATTCTATCATTGCTCGCTTGTATTTATGTTATAATTATTTATCTATTTTAGTATTTATATTTTTTTTATAAAATTTAAATTTAAATTTTATTAAATGTACAAAAAAAAAGGAATATTGGAAAGTAATATTTTATTTATTTTTTATTTTTGTAAAAAAAAAGGTAAATTAAATGAGTTAATAACACTATAATTAAATAACTTTCATTCCAAGTTAAATTTCCTTCAATTAATTTTTAATTATTGCCACGTCATTTCTGAATATGACACGTAATTATTTGATCACATTATTCCTCCCCTCTTTGGGGGGTTTGTATTGAATTATTGTTAAAGATGTTTTTGTCTTTAGAGGACATTATTGGGTATTTGGTGGGGTGCACTGCCTCTCACATCATAATGGTGTACCCATCACGACCCGTTCGATTATTAATTAAGTTTATCGAGAAAGATTACATTTTTAAGTCAAGAGATCGATAACGTGATCTTGAATCAACTTATTAATGACGATGTAACAACATACTCCTCGTATTCAAAATTTGAACGATACTTAATGACCTCGACATACCCCTACATTCTACAGCATGGTCACATTATTTATTTCTCGTTCATAAGAGAGAAGACTATCTATCTCGACTTCGACACCAAGTGGTGCTGACATTCTCTGATTATTCATGGCTTCTAAAAAAGAAAGATTATCCCTACAAACCAATACCGTCTTTTTCAACATGTTTTGTCTTCACAAGTATCATAAAATTGCTCAAAAAAAAAAAAAAACACACACACTCAAATGTGATGTTCTTACGATTGAGTCATCGAAAAGAAATGTGTGTGACTGAAGATTATACTCTCTATCTTTGTACGTACGTATGTATACATACATTCATACATATACGTGCTATTGAAGATTTGAATCGAACAATCTGAACCAATCAAACCGATTTCAATTATATTTTTTAATAATTTATTTTTAATTGTTTTTAAAATTATTAGCTCTACCCCTCCCAAGAAGCCCAAAAATATTGAGGCCCATTATATAAGTGAGGCCCATCAATTTTGGGCTATGGTCATCATAGGTTTGAGGCTAATTATAAAAAGCGGTCGGGAGTAGTCATGATTAACTCTCGGAACTTCTCGTATGGTCGGTCAATTCGTGACACCCGACAACTCCTTCCATCTATAGGGATGGATGAGTAGCCACAACTCGTATGGTCGGTCAGTCATGTTACCAATTATTCACTGAAGTGGAATAATCTTCCAAGTCTAGTGAGCTTATATACCTCATTCGCTTCTTCTGATCATGTAAAGGTTCGCTTATATACCTCATTCGCTTCTTCTGATCATGTAAAGGTTCAAAAATTTACGGTTACTACGAGTAATTACATATGTTTAATCCTACTCAATGTCATCGTGGGGCGCACATTTTTAAGTCGAACCGACAAGTACAAAAGTTGTCGTTGTCTGAGCACAGGGGATTGGGGTGAGACCCCACATGAGGAACATCCATTGGTCACCCAATTAATTGATGAAACCAGAAATGGGTTTAGTTTTAAATTACATTTAATTTGATGGGGTGATAATGTAAGATTAAAATATCCATAAAAATGTAACCTTTTTTTTAAGATTTAACGTAGATTCTTGAAATGTTTGAACGCTCTCATCATTAATGACGAAGAACGTGGGCTCCACGGTTCAGTGAAGTTCTTCTTCTCTCCAATAATGTCGTAGTAGCAGCTTGGTTTTACTTTACCAAATTAATTCTCCATTTTTCTGCCATTTTAGCTCTTTGCTGCTTAGGTTTCTGCTGTTTTGATGGCTGTCTCTTGTCTCTGTTTTTGTCTTCTGTTTGGGGGCGCCGCCGTCGTTGCTGCCGCTGGCGGTGGAAGCGGCGGCGGTTCCAGGCAGCTCGATAACACACCCACATGGGCTGTTGCTGGGGTTTGCTTCTTTTTCATTGTTATTTCCATTGTATTGGAGAAAGTTCTTCACAAAGTTGGAACGGTAATTAGTTTTTGATTGATTTCTCTTATTTTTGTTGCTTCTGTTCTTCTTGTTCTTGTGTATTCTCATTTGGGTGTTGTTTCTCTAAGCATCTGTTCATTCACTTATCCTTAAAATTTTCGAATCACTATGAATATGTTTGTCTTTAAGATAAGATTTCTGTAATGAATCAACTTTCCCGAGGATTGTTGGGAGGGAGTCCCATTGGCTAAGAACCCCGAAGCAAAGCTACGAGAGCTTACGTTCAAAGTGCACAATATCATATCATTGTGGAGAGTCGTGATTCCTAGCATGGTATTAGAGCATGCCCTTAGCTTAAACATGTCAATAGAATCCTCAAGTGTTGAACAAAGAAGTGCTAGCCTTGAAAGTATAGTCAAAAGCGACTCAAGTGTCAAACAAATGATGTACTTTGTTCGAAGACTCTAGAGAAGGAGTTGAGCCTCGATTAAGGGGAGGCTGTTCGAAGGCTCCATAGGCTTCAGGAGAGGTTCTATAGTGTACTTTGTTCGAGGGGGGATTGTTGAGGATTGTTGGGAGGGAGTGCAGGCCTTTTGGGGAAGCCCAAAGCAAAGCCACGAGAGTTTATGTTCAAAGTAAACAATATCATACCATTGTGGAGAGTCGTGATTCCTAACCTGCGCGATATCGGTGTATTTTTCTACAAATTTTCATAGCCCAAATCTACTCTTTGATTTGTTCTTGTTCTCTTAGTGGTTGACAGAAAAGCACAAGAGTTCTCTGTTGGAAGCTCTGGAGAAGGTTAAGGCTGGTAATACAATACTCATAAACACCACATTGTGTCAAAACTTTGAGTATGAGAAAGAAAAAAAAGATGAACATTCCACAAACTTTGTGCAGAGCTGATGATTTTGGGATTCATTTCCCTGCTTCTGACCTTTGCACAAGGATTTATAGTCAAAATCTGCATTCCTCCAGCCATTGCCAATACCATGTTGCCTTGCCCACTTGACAAGAAAGATGCCTCATCGTCTGACAACAGCGACGACGAACATCACCGGAGGCTTCAATGGCTAATCCGAAGATCGTTGGCTGGAGGCCACAATGTCGCCCCGTGTAAGGATGTAAGAACCTGCCCCATGAATCTTATCATTGGTTTGATAAACTTGATTGTGTTGATAAACTATGTTCATTCTTTCTAATAGGGTAAGGTGTCTCTTATATCTATTGATGGATTGCATCAGTTGCATATTCTCATATTCTTCCTAGCTGTGTTTCATGTGGTCTTTAGTGTTACCACAATGACACTTGGAAGGGTAAAGGTAAGGGCTGTTTTCTTCTTTGTTTGTATGATTTTGATGTTCTTTTTAAGTCTTTCATAGAACTTCTTGATTCAATTCTTGTGTGAGATCCCACGTTAGTTGGAGAGGAGAACGAAACATTCCTTATAAGGGTGTGGAAACCTCTCACTTGTATAAGCATTTTAAAACCTTGAGAGAAAGTTCAAAGAGGACAATATCTGCTAGTGGTGGGCTTGGACTGTGGGCTTAGACTGTTATAAATGGTATAAGAGCTAGACATCGAGTGGTGTGCCAGCAAGGACGCTGGCCCCCAAGAAGGGTGGATTGTGAGATCCCACATTGGCTGAAGAGGAGAACAAAGAAGCATTTTTTATAAGGGTGTGAAAACCTCTCCCTAGTAGACGCGTTTTGAAACCTTGAGGGGAAGTGCAGAAGGAAAAACCCAAAGAGGACAATATCTAATAGCAGTGGGCTTGGGCTGTTACAAATGGTATTAGAGCCAGACACCGGGCGGTGCACCAGCGATGATGCTGGCTCCCAAGGGGGGTGGATTATGAGATCCCACATTGGTTGGAGAGGAGAATGAAGAAGCATTCCTTACAAGGGTGTGGAAACAAAGAACAATATCTACTAGCTGTGAGCTTGGGCTGTTACAAATGGTATTAGAGCTAGACACCAGGCGGTGTACCAATGATGATGCTGGCCCCAAGGAGGGTGGATTGTGAGATCCCACATTGGTTGGAGAGGAGAACGAAGAATCATTTCTTATAAGGGTGTGGAAACCTCTCCCTAGTAGATGCTTTTTAAAACCTTGAAGGGAAACCCAGAAGGGAAAGCCCAAAGAGGACAATATTTGTTACCGGTGGCCTTGGGTTGTTACAAATGATACGGTTGGGCAATACTTTTTGGGGAATGACAAGCTTACGAGAATTTCTATAGTATGATTCAACTTAACGTCTCGTCGTGGTCTGACTCGAGTCGTATAAAGTAAAACCAATGTATGAGCCATGACGTAAAGTAAAGCAGGAAAAGAGAGGAAAAATGTCCTTAGTTATGTCATGTAACCAAGTCTTGAGATCATTGCCTAGTGAATTTTGCACCTACGTCGTCATCGCTTCGTTACGAACGGAACTGTTTCTACTCAGATCCGAGGCTGGAAGGAGTGGGAGAAGGAAACTTCGACTCATAACTACGAGTTCTTCAATGGTCTGTCATTTTGTTCTTTCATCAAACAACACTTAGCATAGAGAGTTTGTAGTTTCACATGAATTGGTTCTTCTTCTATGCACAGATCCTGCAAGATTTAGGCTCACTCATGAGACATCTTTTGTGAAAGCACACACCAGCTTTTGGACACGCCTTCCTGTCTTCTTCTATATTGTAAGAGAAAGTTTCTCAATACTCTTTCGAGTATCCATCGATATCGAAATGACTCGGGTTTGATTATATGTTGCAGGGCTGCTTCTTCAGGCAATTTTATGGCTCGGTTAGTAAGGCCGATTACTTAACGCTCCGCAATGGATTCATAACAGTGAGTTATCCATTGCTAAACTCTAAACTGATCACAGCTTCGAGTTTCGAAACGTAATACAAATACTCTTGTAGGTTCATTTAGCACCCGGAAGTAAATTTGACTTCCAAAGATATATCAAAAGGTCATTAGAAGATGACTTCAAGGTAGTCGTCGGTGTGAGGTAATAGTTCGATATCGTTTTAACTACGAACAAACTATCGTTTAGTTTTTACGAGCTGGTCTTTTGGTGGCAGTCCTGTTCTGTGGTTGTCATTTGTGATCTTCCTGCTTCTTAATGTAGCTGGTACGATAACTTCACTGAATCTAATGATTTTGACTTAACATTTAGCTCAAAAAACTCGATTAGGACGAAAACCGTTTTGTTTTCAGGGTGGCGGACGATGTTTTGGGCGTCGTTTATCCCTTTGATCGTAAGAAAAAATCTCTATCTTTCAGAGGGAAATTCATCAGATTAGCTTGTTAGTTATTATATGATGATGGCTGTTTGAACCTCACATAGATAATCTTAGCTGTTGGATCAAAACTTCAAGCCATTTTGACTAGGATGGCTCTTGAAATCTCGGAGAAACATGCCGTGGTCCAGGGAATTCCGCTCGTGCAAGGGTCCGACAAGTACTTTTGGTTCGGTCGACCTCAACTCATTCTTCATCTCATGCATTTTGCTTTGTTTCAGGTAACCAAAACCTCCCATATGCCTTCATTTTAGTGTTGTTCTGATTATCAGCTCATTTGGTTTATGCAGAATGCATTCCAGATCACCTTTAACTTGTCTATACTGGTATTCTTCTCGACGTTATATCGATTTCTTTCCGTTCTCCGATCAAGAACAATGTTTTATTTACGGTTCGGGAACTTTAAGAAGGTTCATGTGAGATCCCACGTCGGTTGGAGAAGAGAACGAAACATTCTTAATAAGAGTGTGGAAATCTCCCTCTAGCTGACGCGTTTTAAAACCTTAAGGGGAGGCCCAGAAGGGAAAACCTAAAGAGGACAATATCTGCTAGCGGTGAGCTTGGGCGGTTACAAATGGTATTAGGGCCAGACACCAAGCGGTGTGCCAGCGAGGACGTTGGCCCCAAAAAGGAGGTCTCGAAGGGGGGTGGATTGTGAGATCCCACATTGGTTGGAGAGGAAAATGGAGACCTCTCCCTAGCAGACGCGTTTTAAAACCTTAAGGGGAAACCCGAAAGGGAAAGCCCAAAGAGGACAATATCTGCTAGTGGTGAGCTTGGGTTGTTACAATTTTTCTTGTAAGCTACAATCGACGATATAGTTGTTGTGTGCAGCATTCTTTCGGGTCGAATTCTTGCTTCTCCGACGGTCCCGTCCTTACCATTGTAAAAGTTTGTATAGGGTAAGTAAGCCTTTCTTCCCTTCTAATGATATGAATGCTTGAGCTTTTTGATCACAAGGCTTTCATCTGCTTATGGTTTTGTAGGGTCATAACATTGTTTCTCTGCAGCTACGTTACGCTTCCGATATACGCCCTTGTAACTCAGGTATTTACGTATCTCGACTTTTTCCGTTCTTTCTGCCTCGTGCCTGCGAAACGTATTGTTGTGAGGCTGAAGGGTCGGTCGTATGATGGATGTTTATGAATTGCAGATGGGGTCGGGCATGAAAACGTCCATTTTCGACGAACAAACATCAAAGGCGCTCAAGAAATGGCATGAAAAAGCCAAGAAGAAGCGGGTTCTACGAAGCTCAGCAACTAGAACATTTGGACGTAGTTCTAATGCTTCGCCTTTGAGCTCCTTTGGACGCTCATTGCGACGGTTTAAAACCACGGGACACTCCATACGTGTGCCTGCGTACGATGACCTTGAGTCGTCTGATTACGAGGGCGATTCACCAGCAACGGCTATGCAAGTATCGACTATTGAATCGAGTAACGTCGATGTGGATGGAGATGAAATACACGAAATTGGTGAAAGGGAACAACCGGAGAGTCTAGAGCAAACTAAAGAAGAAGGAGATGAGTTCTCGTTTATAAAGCCTGCACCAGTGAAATGAACAAGCTTGGTGGCTATAGGTGAGAGCTTGTAAATGTATTAAGATTTTGTTTGCACATATGATATAGTTTTCATTTGGGTCTCCAAAGAATATGAAGGGTCGAGATTTATTATGTTCGGCTTTATTATGTTCGGATGACGTTATTATGCACTCGCTATTCTCTCTATTCACGTGAATGACCAAGACCTAATTGAATATCTATGGGTTGGGGTGCAATGGATGTGTCCGAGCAAGCAAAGATGGCCAATGTGTCCTAAGACATGGGACGACATCACGATGCATGAGTTGTGTTGATGAGAATCGAGATGGCAATGAGATGCGACGTTGCACACTCACGACAAGCCTTAAGGAAAACTCAAGCCCCATATTCATTTTTCACTCAGTTTTGTGTCTTCGTCCACCGAACATCGTTTGTGCGAAATCTAAGCTTGTTCGGCCACACATGTTGTTTGTGTGCGACACAACAACGTCGCATCTTATTGTCATCTCGGGACACATGGGTCATCTTGGCTTGCTCGGACCCATTGGGAATTGACCCATATGTCGATTATCACATTAGGACATCCCGAACATCCATTCATCCGACTTCATTCCGAGATAGAAGAAGAATCTAACCGAGCTTAAAGGATAACTATGAGTAACAAATAACCAAACTAGGGAGTGGCCCACCTCCCAAGTTGTCCTCTTCTCCCCTCTTCCCCTTTTAACAACAAAGTTCTCAAGATTTTTCCTTTTCCATAGATTTCTCTTCTTTTTCTCTGTTCAAATCCGTGTCATGACTCGCTACTTCCAAGCTTTGGCCGGGAATACTTCCTCGGCGACGGCGACAGCGACGGCGCCGCCCCCAGAGGCGGTGGCTATGGAGTCGGACTTCGTGGTGATTCTGGCGGCGCTACTGTGTGCTCTAATTTGTATGGTAGGGCTGATAGCGGTGGCTCGGTGCGCGTGGCTCCGGCGTGGCAGTAACGGTGGCGGTGCAGGAAATCAGGCGTCAGCGAACAGGGGATTGAAGAAGAAAATCCTGCAATCCCTCCCGAAATTCGCGTACAGAGCATCGGGGTCGGGCGGAGAAGAGAAATTCGCGGCGGAATGTGCGATCTGCCTGGCGGAGTTCCTAGACGGGGAGGAGATCCGACAACTGCCGCAGTGTGGCCATTGCTTCCACGTCAGCTGCGTAGACACGTGGCTGAGCTCCCACTCGTCCTGCCCCTCTTGCCGCCAGATTCTGGTAGTCGCCAGATGCCAGAAGTGCGGCGAGTTCCCGGCCGTCGTCCACGGCGGCGATCACAACGACGAGGAGGAGCAAAAGAGGAGGGAAGATAACAACGGTAACAACAGAGGTTTGGGATTTTTGCCTTGACTTTTAGTCAACGCCATACCCTTCTAATTATTGCTCACTTTCTCTTTTCCCCAATTCACTCCAAATATATATATATATATTGATCCCAATTTTTTGTGTTCGAGAAACGATCATGAACGTAGCTCAACTAGTCTAGCTTAAGGTATTATACTCTCGAGCGTTCAAATACTTTAGTCTACGTATCGTTGAACTAAGAAATAAATGGTATTATGCTCTCGAGCTAAAAATCCGTGATTCCAAATATTCTACCCTAAAAAAAAACCAAACTCAACTCTCGAGCTAAGATTAGTAATTTCAAATATTCCACCTTATTTTTTTTTTCATGGAACTAAGAAAAAAAAACGACATTATACTCTCAAACTAACAATCAGTGATTTTAGATATTTTACCTTATATTTGAACTAAGAAAAGACGGGTATTATATTTTCGAGCTAACGATTAGTGTTTCTAAATATTTCAAAAAAATTATACCATACTCTCGAGCTAAAGATTAAGAGAACCCTTCCCTTTATTCTCTTTCATATATATATATATATATATATATATAAAGGTTAGATTCTCGATACACGAAAAAATAATAAATAAAAAATTAAAAGTTGGGTATGAACGATGATTCTATTCTCTTATTTACTTTAAAACTTTGAACATTTTGATTCTCGTACTTACATTAACTTTATTTTAGTCTATTTTTAAAATATATAATTTATTTAAAAATTTATGTTGGAAATTAAAATAATATTTTTTTTTATATTTATATGGTCATAGTTTGTATATAAAGTAAATTAAAATAATTTAAAATTGGGTAAATATTTAGAGTTTTGACTAATTGATTATTAATTATTTATGTGGGGAGAAAATAAAGCATTTTTGAATTATAGTTTTAATTAATTATTAAGTAAAATAGATATTAGGCATTAATGTCTTGTCACCGTTTAAACCTCTATTTATACTTTTTTTATTCAAAACAATTCCATTCTTTTAAACGACGTATTTGTATCTTAGACTCTTTTGATACGAGGCAAGAATCCGATCTAGCTAAGTCCGTACAATTTTCCGAGTGTAGCACCTTATTACGCAGGCTCTGATGCTTCGATGACAAAGTTCAGTAGGGTTTAGGAGAAATGTAGTAAGTAGTTAGGGCTTTTTGTGTGAGTATACCTCTGAGGTGTATTTGTAGTGCACCAGGCTGAGACCATTTTGGTCGATCGGACTAACTGATGATAGTAGAAGTGTATTTTTATTTCAAGCAACCGAGTAAAGAGGTAGAGTGAACTTGAGATGCAATATTAACGTCTAGCTCTATAAATTATAAAATCGATGAAAAGAGAGCACGTAAATGAAGAGTCGAGAATTGAAGAAGCTACACTTCTTACCTCGTTTAGGTATATGTTTATGTTTGAGTGTCTCTCTATCACATATCTCTGCCCATTATTTTCCTTACATTTATGCTCATTATAATCTAACACGTGCTTAAAGCTCAACCATTATTTGTGCTCAACATTTTATATATATATACATATATGTGATGGTGGTAGGGTAAGAGAACGTGAGAGTCGCATTCTAAGCTTCATTTTTTTATTGGGTTTTGACCTAACATGTTCGTAATTACTGATTTTGAAGCTTTTATAGATAGAGCTTGGAATAACGCTTCTACCACGATTTGAATCACTCAAATCGAAGCTAAAACGAAGAAGTTATGACTAAAAAAAAAATTGAATAAGAAATATATGTTACGATAAAAGTTGATGTCTTGGGATTTGAACCCTCACTCGAAACCACACCATGAAAAGGCAGACATCAGCTTGGCGTTGTACTTGGCATTCAAGTATCCACTTCAAAAGAAACGTGTCTAAAACTACCTATATATAGGCGGTAGGGGGCGAACACTTGCTCCGATAGAAATTTCTCGGTGGGGAATGAATTGTTGAGAGTGGGATTTGAACCCACGCCCTTTAGGATAAGAACCTTAATTTGACACCTCAGACCAATTCGGCCATCTCAACGTTATTGCTAAATGTGAACCATATCTATAGATATAAAAAAAATATTGATTTTGAGAATAACCATCAAACACGTTTGTTGAGTTTGAACATTTAGTAACCTAAAGACAACCAAATTCAAAATTCTAAGTGTATTTTTTTTTTCAATATTATAAATATTATTCTTATTTTCATGCCTAATATTAGAAAATTGGAAAACTAAAATCCTTCCTTGATCATACATTCACATCCATTGTTGTATTTAAACTAAGTATATAGCACTTCAATTAGTTTGGTAAGTAGTGAGATTAACAAACTAAGAACATGATTAAATAAAACTAAGAACATGATTAAATAAAACTAAGCTGTCAAACATACATTGACTGAAGGAATTGAGGAACACAAGATTGAAGAGGATAAACCATTCCCAGCTCAGAATCACTACTCCATGGCGGCAGTTTCCTCTTCATCGTCACTACTTCCACCAAACATGGCCGCCATTTTCAGCGCCAAGTTTGCAGCCATTTCTCTTCTTTGAAAATCAGGCATCAACCTCAAGCTGTCCCGCATGTTCCCTATCTCACACATCAACCGTTCTAAATCCTCAACATCATGATGTTTTCCCTTGCATTCGACATGTTCTCCGTTAGTGGCCACCGCGTTTTCTTCAGCCTCTGCCTGATCACGGGTATTTTGACATGCTTGATCTTGCTCGGCATTGTCGGCTTCCTTTGGATGAGCTCCGGTGTCTATGGAAGAACCTTCTCCATTCGACGAGCAACCCTTGAAATCTGTGTCGTCCCACGGTTCGGCAGAACCCTCGGATAGTTTTTCGTAGTCAATTTCAATATCGGATTCTTCTTCCGACAATTCTGATTGGATAAAACAATGGAGGCAGATACTTAGACCTTAAACTAATAGATGAAACATTGTACTAACTAAGATTAATGTAATGCAAAAGACCTTCTTCTTTTGGAAATGATGGCTTTGTTATCTTATCTCCAGATTTTAGAATCATTCCAGGCCACATATGAGCAGAAAGAGCACCATAGAGCCTTTGAACTCCTTGTATATCACCATCAATTGATAAACCTGTAGATAATAGTATAGTTATGTCATAGAAAAACAAAAACAAGACGAGGATGAATGTGACACTGGATTCATGCTATAAAAAATGAACAGATTAATTTTGTTCCAAGCAGATAAAGGAAAAACGTGGTCGAAATTCTTTGCGCTTCGATGTTCTCATAATTCGTTGCCATATAAACAGAGAATCCAAGCCAACGCTAGGACTAACTTACATTTGTCAAAATCTGCATTAGACGCACACGCTTCAATGAACTCGATATTGCGTTCAACGCACCACTCCAAACACGACCTCCTAGTTTCCCACGAGGGATCTTCGTCTCCCAATAAACTACTTCCTTCAATTTCAGAAATTCCATATTCGACTGTATCTGAATAATCTGTACAAGAGTCTTTAAGTCTCTGCTTTTGCAGAAATTTTCTGTACTCAGCATGAACTGGATGACCTGGAACAAGATCTACTTTATTTCCTATGCATAATAATACATCAAATTTCTGTAGATCAGCATGAGCGACCCAATCCCGGAGTGTCGCATGAGATGAAAGCTGCAATGAAAAAAAAGCGTAGTAGGCATACGAACATATGATATCAACAAAAATATTGATTATTACAATTGCAGTTAAGAAACTTAAAATAGAAAGAACTAACATCATTCATGTCGAAGACCATGACCAGGGCAGCCAACTGATTGAATGTAGGCAAAGCCTCGATGGAAAATTGCTCGTCCAAATGAGCCACCGATACAGAGACATCGGCTGTGTAATATTGTGTGTCGATGGTCCAACTGTTTGTCAAGGAAAAATAAAAAGCCATTTCGAGCTCAAATTTACAGTGAGTGACCTAGAAAATGCTAGTAGTTTTCATTTTGACCAACTACATAGAAAGATACGTTGATACGTAAGAAGAAAAATGAAATTTTCTTTCAGTCACTTACCCATGGACCGAAACTTGAGTGGACGAATCCATAGCATCTTCAAAGTCCACAGAAAGTAATCCTACGATTAACAGAAAGACATTGAATACTCAAAATGATCAGTTTCTCTGATGCAACTACCGAGTGTTATGCTTCTTTTATAAACCATGAATGTCAAGACATATATCTAACACAATCCCACTAACTTACAACATTAGTCGCAAGGGAAAATTACATGTTAAAGGAAAAAAAAAAACAGATAACTAGCAAATACAAGTTTTTCTTCTATGAAATTGTGGCCACTTTTCTCTAATAAAAATTTACAAGTAGATCGAAAAAGACGAGATTGTACTTGAGCTTATGTACCAAAACAATAGAGAGAGAGAGAATATTCTCTGATGTTGTGATGTTGAGAAATTTGAGAAGAAAATCTCATCATTTGTTATAGCATATGATGATTGTAGTAATTGAGAATTTCAATTCCCGAAACCACTCGTACGGTATACACAGACTCTCAACGAGCATGATAATAATCAACTTAATTGCAACAAGTAAGAATTAAATAGATTGAATTTAGCAATGTAAGAGAAAGAGAATTACTTGAGAGAAGGGAGCGCTTGCCAACGTTTGATGATCCAACGAAAAGGATGCCAGGTCGACTCTCCAAAGGAATTGGATTCAGATGTTCTCCACTCATGGCTATTCTTTGTTTTGAAGTCCAACCTTCAAATTATTTTCTACAAATGTACCAAATAAAGCACACGTGAACAAATGTCCAAAGACATTTGAATTTTGAAAGGGGTAGTGTAGCTGTAGAATCTTCATGCATGAGATATGAATTAGAGTTAATAAAAAATACTTTACTATCATTTATTTCAATTCATTTAGAAAAAAGTGTAATTAGGTGAATGATAATAACAAACAACAACAACCAAATAAGAAAAAAGGTTCTAGAAAAACTATATTTGCTAATCCTTCTCCCCCACCTAGAGAACGAAGCGTGTTTTTTACAAGGGTGTGGAAACCTCTCCCTAGTAGACACATTTTAAAAACCTTGAGGGAAAGCCTAAAAGGGAAAGCCC